CCCATTGTTGTTTTCCTTCAGTGAGGTTTTTGTGCTACTGCATTAACATGGATACATAGCTGTCGATTCAGGGACCTCATCCAATGAGTTCTCAGCTTTGGGTTGGTGATTCCCTTCAAGTCCGACCCGCAGATCTCCACACGCCGCGGTTGACGTTGGTTTGAAAACATTAACATTGACTTCTTGTTTCATGTCTAAGAGGGCATGATTGACGTTTCTTGCAACTTCCTCTCTTTGCTGGGTTGGTTTTTGATGCGGAAACGATCATGCAAATCGGACCAACTCAGTTAGAAATCTCGGAGAATCAGTTTTTCCAATCAGTTTCATCCTCCATAGTTTCCTCCAGTTTGTTGGGCGCGCCAATGAGCAATCTGACATGGAATGGAGGAACTCGAAGGGTCCCTATGTAGCTTCCAACACCCAACCGGACCATTGCAGGCCCCAGATTGGGCCCCCAACGGCCCAGAGCTTGTAAGCGGGCAGTCTGCTCGACGACGACCCGTCAAGAGTGAAAGAGGCGCTTCGAGCTGCGGGAAAGTCTGGTGGGCCCAAATGGATGGGGTTGAAAAAGAAGGGTCCAGGGTCGAAAAAGCATGTACAAGGGTTAAAAAAGAATGTGACAGGGTCAAAAAACAATGTTCGAGGGTGAAAAAGAAATGTTGCAGGGTTGAAAAAAAAGGTTAGGGTGGAAAAAAAATGTTTTAGGGTTGAAAAAAAATGTTGCCCCCAAACCAGCCAGGGACCAACCCCACATTTCAAAATGAAAGCAGAGCCACTAGCCCAGGCCAGCCGGGACCAGCCCCACATTTCAAAATGAAAGCAGGAGAGTCTTTGCAGTGCATGGGAGATTTGATTGGACCCAGACCTTTTTTTTTCAATTTTCCTGGTGCTGCTTTTGTGCTCATCGATTGTGCCCACTGTTAGTGGGACTCAGCCACTTCGAATATATATAGACATGTATTTACTTACTTAGTTTTTTGGTAGATACTCCATATGATTTCAAGTGTGGTGCCTGCGTCCACTACTTGGAAGGAAGGGCTCATACTGTTGATGGACAAAATCCTGCACCACTGGACGAACAATCTCATGTATACCCTCGCGCTCCCTTTTTAACATTGAGTTGAGGAAATGCCTGAAACAGAAAAAAAGTTGAATGATCAAAATCAGCAAACATTGAGTTGGGGGGCACGGGGGTCTGTACTATTGGAGGAGCTCATGTGCTGCTTTATCGATGCAGGATTTCGTCCATCAATCGTAGCCTAACCGTCCACCATTTGACCCAGACTCTTGGTGGACCACATGACCATCCTTGTTTGTTTGGCTTTGGATTAATTATCCCTGAAGGAATATAGTGTACAGAATGGAAGGCCTTATGGCCAGTGTAAAGTGATTTTAGTTGATTTTGAAGGTCTCTGGGAGGGAATGGGGCCTTTCAATTTGTAGTGATGTCATGCTTAATCCCTCGGGTATGTCAAAATAGAGTCTCGGCCACCGGCATTTTGTAGAAGAATTTGTTTTTCAATGTTTGAAGCAAGAAGATTGGAAGATAGGAAGATGTGAAAAGAAGATCTGAAAGAACAGATAGATCAGATCAGAACAGCAGATGGAGACACAAATCAGCCGTTAGTTTATGCGAAGTCATGGGTGACAGAGAGGAAGAGAGAGATAGAGAGAGAGAGAGATGGATATTATAAAATGTATTAAAATACTATACTTATGTATAATGACTGTACCCATCCTTTGGTTGCCGTCTATTGCAGTCACCAGTGAGTGCACTACAAAATGGATGGTCCAACCTAAGGCATATATAAGATGAGTAGACTATAAAACCTGGCATTTCATTTTGTAGTGCACTTTGACCTCCCTTTTTTCGAAGATGATATATGATTCAGCGGCGTCAGTTTAAATTGCATGTTTTCTGGCTCCTTGCACAGTACAGTGCCAAACTCTGGAACCCCCAAATCATAGGTACAAAATGGAATTCCATCGTCTCCCTGTTATTCCAACGGGGATGATTTGAGATTTGTTCTCGGAAGCAGTGGCTATATATCCTTGACCACATCGACGGAACTCTGGGCGTCACCGCCCTGCACTGCGCAAAGGCAGCCGCACAGCACTCGGGTCCCGTCCCTCTCCTGCAGGGTTCCATCTCTCCCTGTAGGTCAAGACGGCCACGTGAACCATGAGAACTTTCCCGCCTCAACGATGAAGGGCTTTTTGGTGTCTTGGAACGGTCTGAGATCGTGCCATCTGAGCCGAGGAATCCTCACAATCCTCGCAACGTTTGGGTCAACGACCCACGTGTTGATGTCCATCCTTCCCCTCCGTCCAGGATGCGCAGCGTTCTTTTCTTGCGATTCGCGCTTTTGCGGCGTACATCAAAGCGGACAAGTTTGCCTTTCGCTTTAAGATGCTAAAACTCCTCCTTGCTGTGTGCATAGGCTGAATGCAGGTTCTCTAATTTTCACAAATACTACAGCCTCCAACAGGTCACCGGCAGAAGCTTAATTGTTAGTCCACGAAAAGCCTCCAGAAGAGGTCAGTTGAAAGAGGTAGTTGTGTTATTAATCTGTCCGGTGGAACCTCTCACTCACGCGGGAGGCTTGTGTTCTCTATCAACTTTCCTCGGGTGGGTAAAGGCGTTACAAAGTAGTACAATAGGTGATACACCATGGATCACTTGTTTTCCTTGAAAACCGTCCTTTTCCATCCTGTTTGTTTCAAAAACAATCCGTTTTGACCCCGGCTGTTCTCCAAACCTTCCTTTGTTCGCTCCATGAGTTCATGCTCTTTTGTATCCCATCAGTTAGCATCGGTTTGCAAGACGAAGTTGACATTCAACATCCATTCAACTGATGGTTCCATGGCTTGCCGACTCTCGTTTCCCCGGTTGGTTTACGCCGAGGACAACAAGGCCAAGTTTGAGCAGCAGAAGCGCAACGTGACCAAGTACAAGGAGCTCATCTTGGAACGCCAAAGTGAACTTCGTTTGCAGGGCAGTCCCGCGCACGAAGATCCACGGCTACAGGAGCTGCTTCCGTCCCGGCTTCCGTCCATCCGGCGTCAGAGGACCCTTGGACCCTCCAGAGGGGTGTGTAAATTGAGCGTCCTGCGTCCGATGCGACGCTACCGGACCACTGGGATGTGACCCACCATGCATGACCGGGACACGCCACAAATGGCTGCGAAATGAAGACCAGACGGGGTTTGGTGGAAAAACCCGAGAGATTGTCCAAAGACTTAGCAATCTGAGGGGTAGTATTTGCACAGGAGAGCCCTAAGTGGTTCAGAGGAGCGATTGATTCGGCATGTAGATTCATGTAGATCGTATTCAGTTCAATATAGTGTACTATACTGTAGTTTTGTGATATTGTTTTTGGAACATTATTGAATCAAATTGAATCACAATGGACCTTGGCAACTTGGGTTCTTTATGGGCATACTAGATTCAAGGGACTATTCAACTTGACCCAGGCATTTCCTGCGGTTTTCACACATCAAAACCACCCACCCAGCGCGGAGGTGTCCCACCGTCACCTCCAGGAGCTTCAGGGCCTACTGGCCGAGGCCCAGAAGTCGGTCTGGGTCACCTCCGGGATCTTCTATCGCCAGGCACCGCCACAGCTGGGAGGGATGGGGTGAGGAACCGGCCCAGTCCACGAAAACAGCTCAAGGCATACAGCTGGGTTTTTTGGTGGTCGAGATCTTCACCAAGGGATACTAAAGTCTTGGAATGTGGAGGTTGTACTTGGCCAGAAGAGCTTTTTGGGTGCTTTATATTTAGTGCTTGATTGGATCATGGACCAGAATGACGATGGGGTGCTGCCTTGCTGGGGTGGAACCATTCAGCAAACCAACAAAAAGCTCCCATCAACACCAAGCACAATAAGAACCACATCACATCACCCAAGGTTTCTATTCTTTGCTGTGGTGACACCCTGTGGTAAAATCGACCGATGGCGTGGCACGTCGTTGGATGACGCGGAGCACGTCAGGTGACCACCGGGATTTGGATTGGGGCAACTGATGCCTTTCAACAACGAGCGGCTCAGCGAGAGCAACTCGCGCAGGAAGTGGCCTTCTTGGAAGCCGCTGCGTGTGAAGGAACAGAGCAGGTGGAGGCTCAGGTTGAGATGGGAATGTCTGAAAGTTAGACAATGTTGGGAATGTCTCAAGCAGGACCCATTGTCTCACTAAGATGAGCAGTTCCGAGGGTCATTTAGCAGTTGTCCTTTTGCAGCACGTGGGGGAATCACATTTGCTCGAGAACGGATCCGACTCAGTCTTGAAGAATTTGAAGACATCCCCGGCAGTTGATGCGGGCCAGTCGTAGTTGTAGGAGTTTTCGCACTTGAGCGCCCAAGCCGCGCTTCAAGTTGATGCACTCCGGTGTCCAAGACATGTCCAGGGGTGCACGCTCTCTCTCTCTCTCTCTGTTTTTTGAGCGACTTCCCAGTGGTCCGAGCATGTTCCCAACAACGTCAGCTCTTGCGCAGCGTCTTTCGTGCGGTGAGTGGGTCACTTAGTCTGGCTGTGGGCCACTCGGTTTGGGTGATGTTTCAGGATGAAGTGAAGGAAGAGCAGAAGAATGAAGAACATGGTGTGCAGGCACCGTGGCGTGGCGTGGGCCATATACTAAGCCGAATGGTCGACTGGGGGATCGATGCCAAGCGGGAAGCGCAGGAAGATGAGCTCGGTCCGATAGTGTCCTTTCTTGCTTCATGAAACCAACTCTGAGTAGATATGATTAACATGATATCACAAATATGGCCTAACTCTGAGTCCCAATGAAATCAACTCAAGTGTTATTCGTTCATTCCTGGTCCCAATATGTCCCATACCGCGAGCAACACTCACTACCAGGGGATGATGGTATTCTAAACACACCATCCGTGTACTTCCACGTAAGTCGTCGACTGTTGGGTTGGTCGCCCCGTGGCCCGGAAGGGATCACTCATGTTGGCGAAACAACATGCAAATCCTGCCATGCACTGGTGAAAGTGGAGTTCACTTCACCTGTTAGTGGGAAAGTTCTCTTCCGGTTTATGCCATCCACTTCCATATGACCCGAGGATGTTGTACCCACTTTCACGGGCATATGGCCCGCCTCTGCCACAGGATGTGAAGCCCTTGGCAGTGCCGGGCAGCAAGGACCTCTTCAGAGCTGCCACATCCTTTGTTTGTTTGTGCACAGTTTGAGTGGTTCATGATCTGCTTCTCTGAAGTTTCAAAAAAACAATAGCTGCAGTTTGTTGTGGTGCTTTGGCAGAACCACGCGGACTGCTGGACTGCTGGGCCTGGTATCACAACTGTTCATGTCGTGGATTGTGACGTGGCTGCTAACTGTCCAAAGGCACAGAAAAAGACTGTGGACCACAGGTGCTAGTTAATTTTAGAGCTCCCCAAATAGATAAAAGTGGTGTCCAATGCATTTTGTACGTGGGGATGTACTTTTCTATCTATTTTGGGGACCCTTATATGTTGTTGTTTTTTGACTGTGCATTTAACACCTTGTTTCCGGCCAAGCCTTGGATTTCAGGAGGAGGCCAAAGAGAAGAGAGAGGAGAAGGTGCGGTGGCGTTGGTGGACGTCATGGAACTGTACTCGCCGGTGTTTAGGATTTGCTGGCTAGATGAGCGAAGCATTGTCAGACAAAGGCATGGCAAGGAGGAAGGAGCCTTTTCGAAGGGCCAGAAGTGGTTTCCAGGGGCACCTTGAAACAATCACTCGAAGCCGTGGTCCCACCAAGGATCACCTCATTACTATATATATATATACACCTGTGGTCACCTGTGTGATAATCAGAGTCGTTTCACTTCTAGGCCTGCACTGGGCCATGGTCTATGACTGTCCAGGTCCAATCTTACCTTGACATCGGAATGGTCCTCCTGCACAGATGTCTAAGTCAGGTGGTCAGCAGGAGTAGCATTTCAAGGTTATGTACTATACTGCTTGTAGCAACAGGTTATTCGCGTGTGGGCTGACATAGAGGGACCCCTTTGGGAACCATGCGTAGGGGGATGATCCAAGAGTGAGGAGTTCGAGCCATTTGACTACCCGGAAGTGTTAAAAATGAAGCAGGCAAACCACTGGATGGGATGAGAAGAGGGTGAAGATGCGAATTTCCAGTTGTTTTTGCGGTTCTACTAGCATTGATTTTCGTGGAGCCCTGCCAAATCAATTGCGTCCGGGGCGTTTTTGGTCCACTCGATACCGTAGGCTCTCAGTGCAAAAGAGCGCTACCTCCTCCGGAAGAAAGGCACCCGTGGCGGTGGCTGGTGCCTGGAGGGGCCATTGTTGATGTGCCAAAGTTCTGCCAGTGACGTAGGATTTGTTGGAGGATGTTGGAGGTATGCTTAGTAGCACCACTCCCATATCATGAGGGAAGAGTAACATGTGCCCCAAAATCCACAAGTCCCAAGTGTATTAGCAATATGGTCCCTACATATAGCAAGATTTGATACCCGGGCCCGTCCCACAAAGAAATCTGTCGAGCTCTCCGTGGGTCATCTCATTCGACCCCACAACTTCCAAGTCATTGGTCCTTAGTATGTACAGGACTGATTCTTGGATGTTCAAAAGGAGGACACTGAACAAAAAACTCTTGGGCATGGCACAAGTCGAGTTTCCAAGTCAAGCATGTTAAGCACCTCGAAACTCCCTGATGGCTCGGGGTCTGATGATCTGATGGCTCGGCTTTTTCAGCGTTCGGCTCGGCTCAGTCCTGCGAGGCCTTTTGGCTCCTGAGGATGGCTAGCTCGGGACCTCAAAAAGTCGTCATCCTTTCTGAGACACCATCCGCCATCCACCATCTTATACACACACACGTCACACCAACACCTAATAATAGCAATGTCTTTCAACCTACTAGCGATGGCCTCCAACATCCTCCAACCTAATAGCAATGGCCTCTAACCTAATAGCGATGGCCTCCACATCCTTTCTTGTACACACTCAACCGTAGGAACTAAACTAGAGGCCCCCGTGAGTTCCGGATTCATTCTTCCGATTGATTATGATTGATTTGCTTTCTACACCATCCCCTTTGGTCAACCAATCACAAGATACACACACTCACACGTCTGGCTGATCCTTTTGGTGAGTCGTGGCAATCCAGCGCAGAACCTCGCAGGGCTCCTTGCTCGCCGGGCTCCTTCCTCGCACTCTGCAGACCACGGGCTCAAGGGCGAGACCACTTGCTCCCACCGGGAAAACCGCACGAAGCATGGAGGTGACCGGGTGAGACTCCGATCGACGAACAGAGACCTGTTGGGACTGGTTGGGACGGTCCCTGGATCGGTTCCACTGGGTTTTTGTTGAGAGTTACGTTGGTGGCTCAACTCTAGATGTAGGATGATGTGTGCATGTGTCCAAGAAGCAAGATGGGCGGAGAACCGTCCTTTTCAAAGATGATCACCGCAGTGAAGAGTGTGAGGCATCAATTCATGGTACTTTCGACTTTCGGCCATTCCTGCCCTGTTCAGGCGAAGACACGTGCCACAGGCGTGGTTTCTGCCAGTGCATGGTGACCGCACGCGTTGGTGTTCCAAGTCGTCTGTTCCAAGTCGTCTGCAGCAGACGACAAAAGCACCGGCTCAAGGGACCCTTGGAAACTCATGGAAACTCATGGAAACTCATGGAAACTCGGATGCGCTGTGCCCGAGCACTGTCCCGGGGTGCGGAAGTACAGTGTAAAGAGTGTGAACATCGGATGTGTCTGTGTTTTTTTCATGGAATCACTACAGTGAGACGCATGGGCCCTGGTAGAAGAGGGCTTGCTTGCAATGCAGGTGCTTGAAGTTCCAGGAGTCATGAGTGGGAGTAGGTTCTAGCATATATGTTCTAGATTGTTCTAGTATCAAGTATGGATGTATGGACCAAAAATATGCTTGCCATGATCTTGACCACAAATATGCTTGCCAACCGCTGTTCACATCCCAAGGTTCACTGATTGAGCCAGATTCGCACGCCGAAAGTCTTGCGCATATTATATATATATACTTTGATAATAGTTACAACATATTATTACTATATATATACATGACTATATATATATACATGCATATATCACTATATTATATATATATATACATATTGATGTGGGTGCCAATCGAGTCCTTCTCCCTTTACAGTTTGGCGAACATCAAGAAAGCACACCATGTTAAGATCGGACCAGGAGCCCTGGCACACTAAGATCTCTAAGAGAGTACAGACGTGAATGCAGCTCTCCGTAATATTTGTTTCATCATGAAATTCTCGCAGAGGAGAGTTCACGGTTACAGTATTGACCATGGAAACGTAGAAAGTATCGCAGTATCGCATCCGGGAAGAAATGAAAAAGACAAGTACGTAGCTCTTTCTGAAAGTGCCAGGTGTCCAAGAGATGCATGCGCATTTGCAACTTGGCAGTCTCGGCCCTTTCGTCGCGCTCGGTCAACCGCGGTTGTCCGGTCGTCCGGTTCGGCAACTCACCGGGCCGAGCCTTGGGTTTGACACACGTCCTTTCAATCACATACAGTAGCTTATGTTGCAATGGTGCAGAGGAATGTTCATGTTTGTTACTATGTTTGTTCTGCGCACAGCAGCGTTTTTTTCCGAGTCGCTTTTTGACTTTAATGTCGGTTCTGATGCATGTTTGAGTTTCAAAGGCGTGTTTGTGGGCCATGGCCATGGTCGTTGTTGTATATGATGCTATGGTTTTCAGATGGATTGCCGCAACTCACTGCAAAACTTTGGCAACAGGTGTTCCAACAAGGCATTTGCACATGATTGCCACTGTCAACATCAACAGAACCATGCCATGGGTTCGAAAGCGCTCACCGTGTATTCCAGTTGTTCCGCTCGGATTGTGTTAGTTGTTGCAGCAGAACCAACCACCTGGCGGATAATGAAGACTGAAGGGAATAGAAGCTGACAATGTTTCGCTGACATCGTACGTTACATTGAAACAATGTTTCGCTCCGGGCGGATTTCAGGCAGAGCTTTCTTCGTGCGCACCAGTTTTCTGATGTGCACCTTGTCATTTGGATTGGATGGAGACAGGGGACCATTGGGACCCCCTGACCATAGGGCAATTCCTGGTCATGGTGAAATTGGGTCCGAGGTCTGGACATGTTGGTTTCAACGATAGCTTTGACAATGGCAACAATGAAACATCATGAAAGTGCCCCCAAATTGGCACCTGGAGTCTTCAAGTAGCCAGAATTGGTTACATGACCTCAAAATAGTACATGGAACTGTTGTTGGGCATTTCAAAGCTCAAGTCTCAAGTCAAAATATTCCTCATCAGTCTTGCACTCAGGGGCCAAATCAAGCCTGTGATGTTCGAAGGCTAAAGAAGGTGGGGCAAACTAAGTAGGCCAGGAAAAGTGTAGGTTGTGTTTGGGTGGTGCTGGCTTCGCCATGTTTTGAACTCTTCTACAGTCCAATCATTCCAGTGATTGGAGATCCTGCCATGTACAAGTTCGGGGGACTCCTTGATTGTAGAGAGCATGTTCATGGCTGAGAACGATGGATGAGTTGGAAGTCATCATTGGTCCTTGGCCGACATGTTTAAAGTCTCACCTTCAGTCGTAGTGTGATGCACTGGCCTGAGGAATGAGCCCCGAGTGAAATGCAGCTGCTTGCCCTTTTGTCTCTTGGACCTCATGGAAACCAGTGAAATGCAATGTTCTGTTGGGGGTACAGTAACTATATATATAGTTAACGGACCGAGGAGGGGATGATGGGATGGTGATGAGGAATTTAGAATCTGACCACATTTTGAGCGGTGAGTTGGAACACGCAATGTGAGGGGCCCAAGTGAACAGGAACTACGACTCAGGTTTCTTTCATCAGGGGTCTTTTGGAGGTTCGAGCTTGTAGATGACTTTAGTGACCTGCAAAAAGGCGTTCAACAAAAAGCACGCCATACCATTTTCGACGGGTGAAGAAGCTTCGACGAATGCGCACGCTTCGACGAACACGGCCAGCGAGGTAACAGGGAGGTGCTCTATCCGATTCACCTGGCAGCACAGTTCCTTGGAGAAACCGCCAAAGCAGCGCTTGCTGATGAGCTTTTCTTGCTCATGAAACCATGGTGCTTCTGGTGATGCAGTTGTCCTTCACTTTTCTTTTGAAGGGACGTTGACTGGCAAGGCAAGGCTCCGTGCAAGATATGATTGTGTGTGTTCTGACAGCTTTCAATCCACTCATCCCAACAAGATTCTCCTTGATGCTGCTTGTACTGGAATTATTTGGAACTTCCTCGCACTCACCCCGTTTTTGATTCCACATCACCCAACCCATTCTGCCGCTTCAAAACCCTCCAGGACGCACTCATCCCCGCATCCCCCCCTCCCACGGGCTCCACTTGACCGGCAAGGTTGGGGGATGCTCTGGCCTTGGAAGGGATCCTGGAAGCTGGGGGTGACCTCAAGCGGAGGAGCGGCGTAAAAAAAACAGGGGGAAGCTCCAGGTCGGAAATGCTGGTGCGGTCTGCAGTGGGAGGTTGCTGGGGCCCCGTAGCGGAATTTTATATGCGGCAAGCCTGCTGAAGTGTTGATTGGGTGTTCGGAGGGAAAGATGGGACGTGGTTCAATGACAACATGTACTTTAAACTACATATTTACGATATTTAATGGATTCAAGACCCAGGAACCTTGGTTGACAACAGAGCCTTTCGTGCCGTTTCTGAGCGGGAATTGGTTGATTCAGATTGGTGGCTGACGATCCAAGCGTTTCACTCATGGACTGTTTAAGGTTTAGAATATTTTCTAGAGATGTTTAGAGTGTTTAGAGTTTAGAGTCTGGGAACCAGCCCAACTCAACCCATCTCAGCCCATCCCAAGCAAGTGGAATGCTAACACACAGAGCCAATCCGCAAACCCAAACAATCTACATATATACAATTTTCAATATTCTATAATGGTACATAATTATCATATATTATCAGTATCCAATGTTTCTACCATTTCAACATGTTTTGGGGCCGCATCTCTTATACAGACTGCAGATAGGCAAATCCTTGGTCTTTTGAGGCAAATCCTTGTAACCTAGGCTTTTACTATCGATATTATGGTGACCTCACCGAATCCCGTTCGGATCAACCATGGCGTTTTGGACGTCCGTTCGGATCGAAACAGGACGTCCAATGGCGATGGTCCATTGGAAGTGGCCATGAGGGCGGATGTCAACAACTCCCATCGCGCAGTCTTGTCTCTGTGCCCTGACAGCTTGGAGGGAAGGGATGGTCATGGAGCACAGGAATGGGCAGTGGTGGTTCATTGGTATAGTCACTTGCCAAACACCATCCGCTGAAGTTGCCATGGTTCCTTCTTTCCATGGCCACGGTTGTTGTGGTCTGGTCCCATTTGGTTTGCTGCTCCTCAGGTTGAGCACACGTGTGCAGCTGGCTGAGTTTTGATGGTGTAGCGCGGCAGATCATCCTGAAGCTTGACTTGCGGCTCGCAGGATGACACTGGCACGCTGCCAGTTTTGGGTGTACAGATCCATTACTGTTCTAGTAGCAGTGACAGCCCATTTTGGCTGTGAAGATCCTTGATTGTTGTGATAGCGGTGACTGGCAGTACTATTCTTTAAAGGGGTTCCTCATCAACAAGGCATGGTAGACACACAATGTGTGTGTGTGTGTGCGTGTTCCTTCACCTATGACAAAGGGATCCGAAGACAGCCTTGTCGGCGGGATCATCGTGCCAGATGATGATATCCTGCTGTTCGGGGGCAACCAAAGTGATCGAGTCAGCTTGATTTTCCCGTGACATGTTTTCGACTCTGCACTGAATTGACATCGTTCAACAAATCGTAGAAAGTCAGCCGTTGGATTCACCTCTTCTTCGACGTCACGAGATCACGTCAGAACAGTAGCATTTTGGCAGTGCTGGTTCTCCAGACAATGGTTGCAGGAGCATGCAGGAGCTATGGGTGGTTGCTTTCTTTTTCTTTGCGTAACGTCGGACAAGAGTTGTTGGTGTTTCGCTGAAAAAGACCTCCTCGGACTATGCCAAGCTCCAGCTTTTCCGAAGCTCCAGCTTTTCCGCCCACTGCCAGATCCCATGAACAAGCGAAGGGATCGTGTGAAAAAGACATGCTGACGGTGCACTGGACAGAAGACCAAGACATCGGGGATTCAATATTCAGGTTTGTATGACCAATTTCTGTTCCCGTTGTTCGCAGCTCGCATGGTTTCAACGAAAGAACCTTCCTTGACCGATTCATTCATTCGTTCGGTGTCACGGCGCCGAATCTTCCTCCATCTGTAAAAATCTCCCTTCGGCCCAAGATCTTATGGACTCAAAGGAGATCGCCGTCTTTTTTTTGGCGCCACACACTGCGGAGACAATGGCAGACATGACATGAAAGACAACATTTGCGAAGATATTCTATTATGTAACCCTGAATGAAAAGTCTGAAGTGTGAGGAATACTTATAGTTATATGTTTTATGGCATACAGCCAATCTACTTGGTTTGGTGTCCACTGCTTGGCTTATGACCAGACCTCTCTCCTGCACCGAGACCTCAGGTCCGCTCCTCGAAAACGACCACCCGCGTCGTGTACATAGCACCCAGCTGTGCATCCGAGCAGCTCAACGGGGATGGCGACGATGGTGGGGAGAAGTGGTGCATCATGGTCTCTCACGGAATCCAGTCATGACGTCATAGTCGGTGAAAGAGTATCACATAGATTCACGTAGTATCACTATTCTTGAGAAAGGCCTAACCACTAACTATGACCAACTTATTGATTTTAATTTGATCATGTAATACCCCCTTTTGAAGACCATGTTCGTCTATCGGCAAATGGCCTTTTCATCATACAAAATGGCCTTACATCGACATGACTCATGTCCTCATGTCTATCTTGGAACCAGATCATATCATGCGACATCAAAAATAACATGTGTTGTTGAGGAATCTTTTCTTTAAATTGTCCATGGCATCACCGGGTGTAGGATGTGATTAGTTCGAATCAGTTCAGATGTGAGGCCTTCCAGGTGTAGCTCGCTAGCTCCATCAAAGGTGGGTGGATGTCAGTGTGGTCCACGTTCGGAACCATCCAAGAAACATAAATAAAAACCCACTGTCGGTTGATACCTGAGACCCATCGCGGGAGCTGCAAAGGGTGGACACAGGGACACGTGTTTTGCCTTTGTGATCGAACGCTGGCGTATCCACTGGGAAATCTTGGCTCAAGTTAGGGAGGCAAAGTAGGGCTGAACCAACAACTCCCCTGGTGCAAACAATTCACATCAGAGGCGGCCAAGACTACCATGGTCTACCAAATCAGAGGCACTCAGCTTGCAACTTCCAACCTGGCCTTCCAACCACCCGTTTAGAGAACACATCGCATGGAGCTTGTATGGGACTCTTCTTTTCTGGAAGGTCACCCAGGTCCGCAATTGGGTTGACCGGTCGTCCACGCGGCTTGAAAACAGCCACCTGGAACAGTCTCGTCGGAGAGCGGTCGTCCAGCTGGACCGACTTCCAACTTGAGTGAGTCTTTGGGCAATAATGGAACTTTGCAGCTCCAGATCCTACTTCCAAGACTGATACATATATATATATATATATACAATATTATACAATGCTTCTAGATCCAAAAAGCGACCTCACCCAAACCAAAGAGTGAACAGTCCGCCGAAAAAGAAGATAGATCTCACAACAAAGCGACAGAGCCCTCTCCCAATTGGTATTTTTTTTCAGAGCTCGGCCCCAACTTCTCGCCATGACGCAGGCGAGGATCGGATGGGAGATACGGGGAGGGTTCGAGCGCCGCCATGGTCAACGCCCCGGTCTCATGACCAGGACACTGTGGGACTGGCTACCTGGTCATGGTCAACATGTAGGCATAGGTCCATCGGAGTGTTGGACTTCATTGTACATTTGACATTTATCCCTCTTTCAGGTCCCACTGCCAAGACCCGATGAAAAGATCCCATCGGGGGTATGAATACATATATGTAGGCTTTTTTTGGGGGGGGGCTCCATTTGTGAGCTTGAAAAACAGCCAATGTTGGATAGGTTTTCAATGGTTTTCCTATGAATAATTCTTAAGACAACATTTGGGATTCTGGATGATTGGGTGTTTTGGGGGCAGGTTCTTGTACAAGAGTTGTTTGGGTTGGGAGAGAAAGGTAATTGGTCAAACTGGGAACAGGACCAGAGGATGAGGGATGGGTGAAATCAAGAATTGAAGGGTGTAAAGATGAACATAATGAGAGCGATGGCCAAATGACTTGGGGAGATCGTTGGGTACCCCAACGAATGCACCTTTCAAAAAAATGGCCAGATGGGTTCTGTTGAGTCGCGAGAAAGTTGGGCCAAATCAATCAGAGGGGGGGTTAAACTTTTCCTGCGCTCAACTTGCTGAATCTCACTTAATTCTCAGGTCTTTCGTTTCCAAGTGGATAACATCCACATCGGTCTCCGCTGATGTGGCCACACCGCAAGGGCACTGGCATGATGGATCAGAAGTTGGCCGGAGCCTCACGTGGAATTTCCTCGAAGACCTTGGGATGGCTCCCGTTTGGATCTCGGATGATGGATATGAATTCTCAGAAGACCTTGGGAACCACTTGAAAGGTGGAACCCACAAAACACAATGCAACATGTTTGATGTAATTATACAGTTGAAGGAGCCCAGTTCTCATCATGTCACTGTATGCTTTCTGGGGCCCTTTTTGGTGGTGCGGAAATCGTTGGCAAATATTGGTTGAAATCCCACAGTTTGAAGACTTGCTTGGGGACGGGGACATTGTGGGAGACGTTTCTCGTTGCTCGCGTTGCTCGGCGATGATTTCCTAGCAGCTGGGAAGTCTCAGGGGTGGATTGAATAGCAAAACTATGCAAAACTGGCTGTATAGCATGAAGTATAGCATGAAGGACCCTTTTCATGGCTGTATATCATGTATACCCCTGTCATAGTTCCTTTCATGAAGTTCACCCACTCTTTCAGACTGACCTTTGCAGATCACAGGCTCCCTGCCGGAGGCTGACATTCTTGGGTGGTTGGCAAAAAATGAGCATTGCTCCTAGTAGCGATGCCAGGAGCCCCTAGTAGCTTCTTGTTGCTTTAAAGCAGCTTGCCAAGTGCTCTGAGAGTTCTTTTTGTGCCTTTTCCGTGCTCAACGGAGCATTCACATCCAGCTCCCACATCCAAAGACGAGCGCCACTTGAATCGAGCGGACCACCGGTGGCTTCGTGGTTTCGTTCGTTTGTGACGCATGTGGAATATTCCTTCTCCACATGTTTACGTCAAAGGAAGTCCTTTCAAAACAGACAACGACCACAACAACAACAAGATACAACCCCCAAAGACCCTTTGGTTTCGTTTGCAACGACCGACGTGGCCTCGCCTCGGCGCTCAGGTCACCGCCGCCCGGAGGGCGGTCGAAGCGGCGCGCGAGGCCAATGAGGCGTCGCCGTTCTTGGGCACCGGAGACAGTTTGATTGGCTTGTGAATTCATTTGGCTTGGATCTGTTTGGCCCCCCTTTTGAGTTCATTTTCTGGACAAGGGTGCAGATTCTTGAAGGACTTTTTATAGAATCTTATAGACTTATAGACATATCCAGTACTCGGCACGTCAATGATTGCCTTTTTCCTGGAGTTCTGCGGTCGCCATTGCCTCCACACCTTCGCAGGCGGCCAGCGCTGATGGTTTGACTCCTACCTCCGTCAAGGCCTGGTTCAACGGGGCGCGAGAACAGGCGCTGGTGGTGCTTGAAGATGTTTGGAGTATGTGTATTCTCCACCCGTTGGCATTTAATGGTGTTTAACAATTTCATATAATTTCAATACCCACAAACAAGACGGTGAAGATACCTATTCAGGAACCATTCTGTATACCGCCTGCCTCACAGGGTGGTGCATATCGTAGCATTCTCGTTCGCCCCATCCAGCGCCGCGCCAGGAGAATCTGGAGCGAGTCCTCCAGGAGACGAGTCAGACAGGGTACCGACGGGGTCTACCGAGCTGGGTCGCGACGGGGTGGAACCCCCGGCACTGCGATGGAACTGGCGGACTGGCGGACTGGGCCCAGGCACTGCATGTATGGAATATAAGATGGAGTAATGAGTAATGAATACATTCGCCCCCCAATACAGGTAAATATGCCAGTCCCATGGAGTGTTTGGGTGGGGAACCGGATGGATTTTCCAAGAGCTGAGACATTGGGACGATTGTGTACGCCTCTCTTTGTTAGCCCATCAGTCTGAGTTTGTGATGTATGAGTGGTGGCATGGTCATCACCAAGCGCACCAAGTCGTCAGACCGAACCTTCGCCAGCGAATCGACTGTTCGTGTGGAGGAGTCGAATGCCGTGCTGGAAGCCGCGGAGAGCACCTCGAGGCATGGTGGAACCATGTGGAACTGTGGAAACCCATTTTTTTCAACACTCACAATTGACCATCATGTTGAAACTCTCACGAGCGATGAACTCTTTGAGCAGCTGTTGAGTGGATGCGAGCTCTCGAGGCGGCGGCAGACCTTTGCAGAGTTTACCTCGTTGTTGGGCGAGGAGCTTCAAGAGGCGGTACATGCCGGTGGGGATGCGTCTTCTCTTGGTCCCTAGGGATCCAAGTACCTTGTCACAAGGAAGGTGATCGGAGACACTGTTAGTTATGTAGGCTTGGAGGGCCCAAGTACCTTCTGAGAAGGTATGTGGATCCCTAGGGGGTGATACTGAAGGGGGCGTCCGAGAGAATTGATACACTCCGGGCCGGTGGCCGAAGGGCTTCCAGTGGCCTTGGCGGTCGTTTCTATTTGCTTCCTCGCTGCGCAGACAGTGCACAGCCACTTCGACTATTTTAAGCTTCTTCGATACTTTTGCGCTTAAAAGGGTTCACAAAGGACAGTTTCTACAGCCCTGGCTGCTCAACCACCACAATATGCTCATAGGCCGGTATGAGACTATGATCGATATGATCTACAAAAACTCTCAGGGAATTTGAGGCCAATTTGCAGGGCGTTTGCTACTCAAGATCCAAAAGCTCGGCCCTGTCTCCACAAGTGCTTGAGAACTATGACATGGATATGCATGGATATGGACTAACTAAACAATGGTAGCCTGGTAGAGCAGGGCGTGGAAACCACTGTTTTTTGCGGCAGATTTGTTGCTTCTCTTCACAGGCGGCAGAGGAGTCGATGAGTGAGGCGATACCGTCGAAAGTCATTGTTTCAGTTGCTGAGGGAGGGTTTGTAGGTGCAGGAGTAAATGACCCTCCCCCAAGCTAAGATAGCCCAAACTTGATGGCGAAGGCAAATAGTCTTTTGGAGCCAAATCGGACATTTGATGCAAATGGAACCACCAAGTACGATCAAATAACTTTGAAGGCACTTGGCATGGGGATTGTTCGCTCATTCCCAACTCAACAACAATGTCTCGCCGGTTTGTTGAGCAACCTTTGTCTCGCACCCAGAATAATTATAATATTGTTGTGAATGGAGGGGGCTCCTCCAACAGGGCATCCTCAACATGTCGACGTTGGTTGGTTCTTGACTCATGAGGAATAATAATCCATCAGTTTGTTCGGGTTGCCATTGTTTTTCGTCTTGGTGCGGTGCAGGCCACCAAAGCTGCGGAAAGGACCTTAAGACAGGCTCACCTGGACCCGCCAGGGGATCGGCCGAGTTGAGTTGATGGGACGTGAGATTCACCAAACCCCGATCCCATCGCTGTGGGACTGGGGGATCCCACCAGTTCAAAGTTTCCGAGTGGATTTGCCGATGTGGTTTTACATCTTCCACACATTGCTCCTTAAGAAGGCTGTGAATTAGGTCCAAGTAGCTTCTTGTCACTAGTAGCGTCTTTGCTCCTAGTAGCGATGCCAGGAGCCCATAGTAACGTTCTTGCTCCCGGTAGCGATGCCAGGAGCCCCTAGTAGCGTCCTAGGTCCAAGTCTTCACAGCCTTTCCAGAGCTATTCAACGGACCAACGGTGACCAACGGCTTCGACCCGGGTTCCAGGCGAAGAGTCTCATCGAAGATCACTTCCACATTGATGAGGCCATGCAGCGTCAGGTCGTAGAGATGACCGGAAGATGGCCATGGCAAGTTGCTGCGTCCGTTTCTCCCGGCTCAATGTGAGAATGGTAGGAGAAACCATCAAGAAAAGCTGCTCGCAACAGCCTCTATGTATATATATATATGGTTATATGATAATATAGGTCTCGGTCTTGAAGTTTGCTGTTTGTTGCCTTTTGCATTCCTCAGTGCCACATCCTCTTTTCCGTGTCATCTCCAGCTCGCCGCGCTTGGCACAGGCCTTCCGGATGCTGGGCCCTCTGAGACAGGACTCCAACCGCGCCCGAGACATGCACGACTGGCCGCTCGGCGGCAGTGGGTATGCGGCGGGGTCCACAAGTCTTTGGCACCCAGAACACTCCATGTATATGCGGAAAATCAATACATTTGGCCCCCAAAACCACCTCTAATGTAAGGTAAATGTGCCAGTGTTTTGTTTGGTTTGTGGCATCATGTGTCAGTAGCCAAGCGGAGGAGCCAACCACACCCCAGTTGCGATGAAATCAGAGCCTCGCTCGGCTCAACCCCTGCTGCCCAACGGCTGGTTGTGCATGCTTAAAGCCTCTACATTTTGTGCAAGCTGTCCTGTTCCTCTGTCCAGGGTTCAGGTATGTGACAGTACAAGGACACCTCCAACCAATGGGTGCTTCAGTGCTTCAAGTCATCTACACTCTGTCTCACCATTCCATGGAGCTGCAAAACCACCAGTTCTCAAAGCAACAGCGTTTTTTCTCCACCCACATATCTGTGTGATGCCGGAGTGCACCCCAGTGTTGGCGGGTGAAAACACCCCTGGTGTTTTCAGCGCCGGACTGGACTGGAGGTTTAATTTGGTGGCTCTCTTGCCGGCACCGGCCTCAGAGAGTCCGTCAGACATGGTGACACCGTAGTGCTTTGACACCATGGTGCTTTGACACATGGGTGCAGTTGTTTCACCTGCTTGTGCTTGCAGGTGATCTACTTGAATTTACGAAATTGGTGCTGTCTTGCTCTCAGCACTGGGAAAAGTTTGGTTGCATCTAGTACTGCTTGGACGGTGCAGAAGACGCACACGTCTTGGGTTGGATTTGTAGCTTGTTCATGCTTCTTCTATAGGCTTTGAGTGCCTGCCCAATATTATATTGGGGTGATTCAACTGTTGGTCCTGTCGTCGATTAGCACCAATTTGTATGTTTGCACCTCCACACATTATTTAATGCACCACAACAAACAGCTGGCCAGGTGGTTCATAGCAGCAAAGGCTTTGTACTATAGACTCTGACTCTATGATTGGTTGGCACAGTTGGAAAAGATTCCTTGGCTCGGTATGGTGGATTTGCTCAAAGCCTTTTGACCTTCAGACAACCTGTTATCGACCGCGGAGTGTTCTGTTCTGCTGTCTTTTGACGTGAGTTCTCGGGGGAAAAACGAGGAGAAAGGGGGCCAGAAAGGCTGTGGCAGCAAGTGATGGAGAACCAAGGGCATTCATCCATCAAAACCTTACCATGCTTTGGACCCACAGATACCCACATGCTATAGCTCATAATTACTCGATGCACTTCTTTTCAAGACATTGCCCTACAGGGAATCTCGAGTCCGAAAAAGCAAGTCATAGCTTTTGCGATGCAGCCAAGCCCTGCCAAAGGCAAGGATTTTGGATTTTGAATTATTCCTTGGTTAGACACCAGCACAAGGGTATGCGGTATTTGGTATATGCTTAAGGCTTATGTTGTGCCACATGGTTTACTATTTGGGGAGTGTTGGATCAAGCCAAAGTAGTTTCTTTTGCACTCATGTGATGCATTTCTTTGACGTCCCCATGCTTCGCCGTGGTCGCTACAGCGGAATGGAACATAATTTGAGGATCCACCAACAGCCCAAAAGCTTTGGGCCCTCGAATTGAGGAACCCCATCATTACACTTGTACTTCCAATATCGACGCAATGGGTCGATATTTGTACTGTATATTTTTCTGCGACAGTCAACCCACACAGTCACACAGTGGGCGCTCTATTTTCAGTGCGACCAAGGTGTGACATTCTCAGTGAGCTTGTTGCGGAATACCATCATGCTCGGGGTGCCTGGATGCTGGCTGAAACAAAAGGACAAACCTGCTGTACCCCTGAACCATCTATTGTCGTCCAGAGGAACCTTCCGTCGCCAGCGGGTATTACATGTTTGGTGTGGTGGAAAGCTACTGGCCGAGTGCAGTGTGGAGTCCATGGCCCAGTTTTTTTGATTCGGTGTATGAGTTACGTAGCTCACGGTGAACGAGTCGCTTACACAGTGGCTTCATACTTCATGGTGGGTTTTGGAATGTTTTGGATCATTAAACACAAGCACAAATCATCACAAATCTCAGAAAAAGACATCCCAACACGGGGGAATTGTCAGCGTTATGCACGTTGAATGGTTCCCTGTGTTCCTTGAACATGTTTCATGCAGCATCCGACCTGAACAGAGGCGCCGAAGGGAGATTCGCTGGGTCAATATGCATATAATGTATAGTACTAAGTATTCAATAGCTGGAGTCAACAATCATTCTCCAAACTCATTGAAGGTTTTGTGTGGTGTGCCGGTGATTTACACATGCAAGTATCTTGAACATTCTTGAACAGAAAATGGTGTGGCTTCCCGATAGCGGTGTGTCTTTTTGGTTTACCACAGGATTGGGACCTGATGAAGTTTCATTCAATCCAGCCATAAGTTCAAAGACTTTTAAAAGAACCTTGTGATCCCACCTGACCTCCATGGATCAAGGGGGGCGGTCATCGACCCTCACTAAGGGAGCAGTCGGTGGTGCAGATGTGGCATGGGGAGGCAAGTCTTGGAGTGGGAAGAGCTGGCTGAGTCACCACGGGACTGGGAGGACTGGGAGCAGCGGGTATTTTTCCTGCTCCCGGACGATTTCTTGGATCTGTATTTGAGTCTCCGGAAAGAAGGGAATCCATAGGAATCCATAGACAGAACTCCAATCCTGAGGCGAAACAAGTGCAGATCTCCTTTTGAATACAAATCGATAAAGAGACAACATATTGTTTGTAGAAGCGAACTCTTGCTCAGTTCAACGAGAGACATTGCCAAAACCTGTTAAACTGGAGATGCAGCATAGACATGAATAGCTCAGAATCCGTCACCACCCAAGCTTAGGCCTTGTGTTCCAGCCTCATTGGCAACATATCGTTCCTTTCTCTGTGAGACTCGACTTTGTGTCGGACAGTCCGCTGTCGGAGTACGGACAGTCCACCAGGTGTTTCAGGAGTTCTGGTGGACCACCTTGGCGTACTTCGTCTTGGATGCTTGGTGGAGGTCCCAAGGAGTACTTTGAGCGTACTTCGTCATGTCAAAGGAGGTCCTAAGAAGAGATATTTGATGATTTTTGATGATTAACACAAGTGTGCTAAAAAGGCTTGAAACAAAGTGTCCATGCTCTGTTGGGGAACGGAAGGGGCGGCGACCGCCGTTTTTTGGTTTGTTTTCTTCTCCACGCATGAGCGTACATGAGACGGAGGGGGGCAACAATGTGTTTTTTCGTGTGAGGGGTTGGACAACTTGAATCGGCAACACTAGAAAACGTCAGCTGCCTTCCAATATTGATGAAACAGATGGTCTTTCACGCCCAGAATTTGTAGAATGTTGGGTGAAACCCACAAAAGTATGCGTGATGGGCATCCTTTGCAGATGCCCGGCTTCTCTGCTTTTTGGGCTGCAAATTCTTCGACCCCAGTGACCCCAGGTCAGTGGATGCAGTACAAACCGTGGGAGGATGTTGTCGTACCTGACGTGATGGACCTTCTTTCCTGAGGCGGAAGTGAGTCCGATGGGGTAAAGATTGCCAAATCCACCTAAAGCTCATGTAATTGGAATCTGCCATCCTCTACCCCAGCCTGCTCAGAGAGTTGGTATATCTAAGGACATTATATGGGTCATGGTGCTGCCAGACTGCGTGAAGTTTGGGTCCTCAGACTGTCAGACCGGGTGGCTTCTCGAGAAAGGGAAGGTCATCTTTGTATGTGGGAAGACTGGTCAGGTCTCTCTCTCTCTCTCTTTGTTATTCTCTCTTGTTGACTCCTCAAGACGGATCTAACTTATCCCGGCACCTCGAATGCACCTCAGTATCGATCATGATTTGCTCTCGTGCTACCCAGCCGGTGCCAGTCGCTCAAGTGGGTCCACCGGTCTTCCGGTCCACCGCCACCATCGGTGGGTGTACCAAGAATCGATCAAGAGGGCATGGATTGGTGCGATGCCAAGAGAAGCTGACCAAAAAGGCCTCAGTATGGGGGGTGTTTGGATCCCAGAACTGGTGAACACGGAAGGATGCCAACCACGGTGGGTGACCATATTCGAGTTACCAATGAATACCATTTGGATTCATTTGGGGCGGTTCTTTCTTTTGGATGCCCTATTGGATGGCAAACTCATGGTTTTCATGTTCCTTTTCTGGTGTTCAATTTCTTTGTTGCTGGAGCAGCTCGCGCATTCGAGGTCGCCTGGGGTCATTTTGAAACACCACCTGGCGACCGTAGGAGTGGCGGGCAGGGCTGTATGCCGGCCGTGCTGGACGGGTGTGAAGGCTTGAATGAGGGGTTCCCGCCAGAACTGGAAGAAAAGAATCCATTGTTATAAGATGTTATAAGTTTAAGGTTCCGTTCAAGAATCCCATTAAATTAGGGCAGAATTCATTGGTCTCAGCAAGATGAGGTTTCAATTTGCTTTGATTCAAACAAGCCTGAGAGGAGCCCTCAGCAATGTGTCTTGTATCAAAAGGCAAGTTGCTTTAGGGAAGTCTTTGAGACTATCCGACTTAAGAGAGACTGCACGGCAACGACAGCAGAGAGAGAGGGAAGGAGGGAGGGAGGGGGGAGGGGGAGGGAGAGGGAGATAGAGAGAGAGAGAGATGGGATGTTCTTGTTTGTCATCAACGCCCCACGACCAGCAGCTTCATCAGTGTGGCAAACCGTGGCACCATCAGTGTCTGGGAATTTGAGCAGTACAGTAGCCAAACCCCGCCAACAATACCATACATATGTGCCAGAAATTAGGCCGCAGCTATCCGTAACCTTATTGAAGCCAAGCCACATATTCCCCAGAAATGGGGCCTTGCCTTGGCCAATGTGCGGAGGATACATTTTCATTCCGAAGCTGCGGCCGGAACACGGATGGCTCATGGGCGCTTGCATGATCGTCGAGGCGACTCGACGGATGTGGTGGGTTTGGGAGACTGCAAATCCCAGACCATCCACGGAACTGGAATATATGCCGACCCATTGACCCCAGGTCAACCACCCCAGGTCATTGGGCCGTGGATGGATGGTCTGCGAATTGGAACACAACCCCAAAGATGGAGGATGGAGATGATCTGGGTTGGGCGCCATGTTGGCTTGGACCCGTGGGGAAGGCGATAGCTCTGATCAGCGATGGTTTTTTGTATGAGGTCGCCATGTTTTCCATGTCCTTAGTGTGGAAGTGGTCATGGGTCAGTCGCGGGAACCGTGGGTGAGTTGGTTTGGGGTTCTTCCCCATGTCTCAAGTCGGACGGTTGTAGGCTGGGATTGGTACTGGTCGAATCGAAGTCACGCGGCTAAGATGAAAGATTAATCGGTCATAGACATGAGTTTGGGGAAAATTCATAAGATGGTTACAGGTGAACGGTTTTTGCGGCCTGACGCCAACAGACAACAAAGGCATGAAAAGTTGAAGTGTCGAAGACCAACATTTTTGTTTGGCATAGTCATCCCAACAAATATCACAGCCTATGACGACCGTCAAGACATGACAATAACAAGTGTTTTTTCCCATGCAAAAAGGAGTACTATGGAGTACCGTGTGCACGAGTCCACACCACTCATGTTTGGCACCTTGGACCCTTTTCATGCTCACCAAGAAAACTTGCAACTGTTGTAACCATTCACCCAAAGCAGCCAAACATTCAGATTGCATAAACGACTGAGAAGAAAATCCGATTTTGGGTCCTTTCCTCCTTGCAATTTGGTTATCATTATATATATACTCAGAATGGATCATTAATATTGTATTAATAAATCAATTATATATATAGTCAGAATATAGTAATTAATATCACGAAAGGTAGCTTGAGCTACCTGAGTTCTCCTTGCTTTAGCAAAAATGTATTACAATCAGGAGTTGGGATTGTGCATTGAATGGGGGGGGCCCCCCCCTGGATCAAATCCCCCCTGCGCCGGTTCACGCCGTCATGGACTTTTACCAGGGTTGCTTGTGATTGCCTGCTACCTTTCGTTCACCCCCTCCTCTCTCAAGTTATATTATTTGTTGTCCATCAGCTTTGGATCAAGTTGTATCAGTTCCCCGAGCCACAGCTTCCGTCACAGGTCAACACCTGGTTCCTGATCGCTCGCCGAGCCTTGAACAAGCGGGGCGACCGCGCGTGCCTTGGAGCCAGAGCGTGTGCGAGAGATGTTCGACTCTTGATCCGATTTAAAGGTGGGGAGGTTACATAGGCGGTAAACAACCTGTGTAACTGTAACCTCAGAGAGTCACCAGTCACCTGAATATATAGGAGGTTACAAGATGAATTCTCAAAGTCTACATGAAGCTTCGAAGGCCTCGGTTGCGACTCCGATTCGCTTGGAGCGAGGGCGAGGGGCCTCGCCCGCCGGGCGCGGGAGGTCTCGACTCGGTCGGAGTCGCCGGCTCAACAGGGAGCCGCTTGGAGCTCCAGTTCCTCAATCACTGGATATCACTCGCTAGTGTAGTGCTCATTGAGCAACTCACTGCTGCTCAAATCTCGAATGGGTTTAGTGAAGGACTGTCCTAAAAGAGGTGCTTGCTTCGGAGTTGGCTATGACGGCTATGAACCATGTGGCAAGCTAAGAACTTCACGATACTCACAAGATGGGACCAGTTATAATGGAACCAATGCGAAACCCTTCACTTCCAGTGCCACCAGACTGGCCAGTTTGGTGCCAAACAATCAGGCCCCAATCAGTTGAGGGGAGGACCCCATTCATGTGGCTCGCCATGAATTATCGGGTCCCAAATTCCAAGTCCGCATATATTTTTGTAGTTGTAGAGATGGACCTTCTTATGGTAAACAAGGTGTTTCACGCTCACGCTGTTGTACGCTATCCATCTTCTCAACGTATACTCAAAGTATTTGGCTCAAGAAAAACAGGTGTGCCTTAGTGGCATTAACCGGTCATTCACCCGCAACTACATAAACCACATCTTGCCAAAGGTGTTTCCATGATCTTCCATATGTTTCATATAATAATACGGCCTTTTATAGGGAGACAGGAAGCTGGTCAGAATTTGAGACTTTGGAAGGCTGACAACGTCTTGCCTCGTGGATGACATCTTACTGGACAATGGGTTTGGAAGTTGGTCAATTTCGTGGCAGGAATCACAGAACAAACTACAGTGGTTTCAGAGTAGATGGCACAATCCCCAAAAGGTGGTTTAGATGGACCCCTATATAAAACACATCTTGGGGGTTGTGCCATCTACTCTCAATCCACTATAAGTGACTAGATGAGTATGGATAGTTGCCTTTGGGTTGGAATGCGACGCCCAGACATAGAATGGACCTTTCGTCACTGGACGGTGAGGACGGCAGCAAGACTTCTGACCACGGCAACACCTGTAGTCACTGTAGGTTGTTACCTTAAGTGACTAAGGAAGTGAATCCTAAGGTGACTACTGTGAATCCTCAGGTGTTGTTACCTGTAGTCACTGTAGGTTGTTATGGAAGTGGATAAGAGAATCTTCCGTGAATCCTCCAGAAGTTCAGCGACACCTGTGGCCCAGGTTCACCACAGGCGTCTCCTTCTGGAAGCCACTGGGACCTAACTTGGCGGATCACAGACGACTCCAAGCTGGCATTGGTGGCATGTCCAGCGACTCCAGTGGTTGGATCTGGAAAACCTGGAGGATTCCCAAACCAGGCCATGTTCATATTGATTAATACTAAGCGATCCATCCACTCCAGTTAATAATTTGCCCCCCCCTAGAAGGAAGGTTTGGGCCTCAAATGATATATAACAATGTGTCATTAAAGGGGGGGTCCATCATGAGCAGAGATTCCAAAATATACTAAATCTATCTAAATCTATCTAAATCTCTTCTTTTGGAGGGATCCCAAAGACTAAATCCGTTGAACAGGGTATTTGGACATGGTGACATAAATTTGTAAACCTCTCGTCCTACGCATCCTAGTCATAGAATATTATCAGATGACTGACTTAAGCAAAACTAACGGGATGAGAAAGAAAGGGATCAGAGGCAATTGCTATTGCAGATTGTTTGCAGGAAAAGCGGACATCACTAATTGGAGGCGGTTAGTGCGTATTTCAGGAAAAACTGGCGTTACTAATGGAAAACAATATGTTCTCAGTACTCAGAGGTTATGGCTCAAAAAATGACTCCGACAAAGGAACATCGGCAAGAACCGTTGTGGCAGTTGTTTGCAACCGTGTCTCCTCATGCACCACCGCTGAGGAAACTGGTCGTGGTTTTGGATGTCTATACCTATTGACCAGAGCACTGTAAACTTAGAAGTTGCTTGAATGTCCAAGGACCTATTTTTGTGCGATTTGCCCTCTAGTGAAGCCGGGGTGTCTGATTCTTTTTAGGACGTTTTAAGGGACCCATGTTGGCCCGAGACCCTGCGCACCCGTAGCAGGTTATGGGTTAAAAGTTTCGCTTGGCCCAGGCCTCTTAGCCTCTTGTTGGCCGCCACTAGGGCGCTATGAAGAACTCAAGTAGTTCAATGAGTCCTTATCAGGCAACTCCTTCGCCAGCTTCCGTTACGAACCGAACCAGTGTTCCACGGGGTCTCCACATGGTCCACAGTGACTGTAGCGATGTGCAGGTCTGTTCGAACTCTGTGGATCTCGACCTGCTTCTACCTCTCCTGGTTTCTTGGATGGATGGTGTTGCCATCGGGTTCTCAAAGGCCATGACGCCATTCTCTCAGACTCCCTTCTTTGGAGACTCAGGGGCTGAAGCTGAACCTCCAATGACGTCATGTCCATGTCCATGATCTCCAAGCGACCATGTCCAAGTCATGTCCATGTCCACAAACCAAAAACATGAAACAGAATTTGAGACCCAAAACAGTTTCGAATGGCGAGCCATCGAATCCCTGCCCTTCTCCATCGCGACCTGCCCTGATCGTTTGCGCCCCTGCCCCAGATCGGTTGCCCCTGTTCCTCGACGAAGGCTCTCCGCTGCAGGCCCCAAGAGAGAGAACTCCAAAAGCATCCAAAAGCCATTCTTGGAGACCTGACAGCTGGGGCAGAATCGATTCAGAGCTTCATGTCGTGCTCCAATCGTATATCATACCATGGTGGTTTGATCGAACTTGACTTGAACAACCAGCCCAACAATGTGGTCTCGCAATGCTTCACAACCAAGCAGGTGACTGGATTCCTATCCTTATCCTTGGAGACCTTGCTGGATCCAATGCGATTCTGATGGTCAAAAACCCAGCACTCCCCGAGACAGATGTTTATCTTTGTGAGGAGATGCATCGAAGGAAGGGGTGCATTGTTCCTACTACCTACCCCACAAAAGGTGCTATGGCGCCATGATTCAGCCACCAACACCAAGCCTGGCTTTGGCATGATCGTTCAGAGGTTTGTCATCCGTTTGGTGATCTACCCCTACTTGCTCATCGTGATCACGAGAGTGGGGTGCCACAGTCTTGGTCGTCGTGTGCGTTTGGGTGCGGCTCTTCAATCCCTCGGTGGTCCCTTTTCGAACCGCCTTCGGCGGCCGCCTTCGGCGACTTCGAGACTCAGCCGTGTTCGCTCATGACGGTGGAGATCATTGGATGATTGGGCTGAGCCAATGATTGGACTGAGCGGTTGAGGGCCCTGAGGTACCCAAAATGGTGGACCCCCCTTCGAGTTGTGAGGGTTACCTCTGGGAGAAGCAGGAATGACATGCCATTTGTGGGGATGGGGTCACCATGATGGTGTCACCAGTATCAGTTCTTCTGCAGAGAGCACCTGGTCGAAAGCCAATTCAGAGATCCATAGGATTGATTGATTAGTTTTTTTTGTTGTTCTTTATATAGTCTTGACAGGCAACTAAGACTAAGACTGCCTTCCTTGCATCTCCTATGCAGAGGTACCACTGTACCCGAAACTGCGGTAGGCAGGTCTTCGACATATTTGCATCTTACTTTGAAGATCATTTATATAAACTTTAAAGATATATTAAAGTCACTTGTCCACAAGAAAAGGACACTCGATTCCCCATGAAACGCTCACCAACTATTGCTCACTTTTCGGCTTGACCGGTCATACCAACAACGGCAGTGCGATCACGGCACCACCATTCGAAAGCCGAACGCTCACGCAAACCTCATCGCGTTGAGGAGTGGATCAAAGAGTCCAACCGGGTGGGCACTCCCTTGAACCTCATCGCGATCACGCCAGTCATGCAGGCGCGAGAAATTGAGGTCGGCAGGTCGCGTACGAAGACGGGCTCGGAGCTCGTGCGAAGAAGAGTTTCAAAATAGAACTGCGATTCCTAGGTCAAACCCGGAGCTATCAATTTGTCGTGGAGATATGTTGAAGCCAGTTGCTAATATACCTTCAATATAGGTGCATACTTGCTGGGCTTCGACTAGTTTGCACAGTTTTCGGGAGGTGCATGTGTGGTATGAATTGATGGTGGAGTCTATAAGACCTCAGCCTTTTGTGATAAGTAATTAAGATCCAGATAAAAGACACGGGCGGACAGTTTTGTCATGCAAGTTCAGTGCCACATGTGTGAAGCTGAATCAGCTTGCAAAATCCATGGAGCTCTATTAGTACTTGACTGGAGAAATCCTTACATCCACCGGTAACAAAAAACAACAGTAAACAGTGAGCTGAACAGGCCGAAGATTTGGTCACGGATGTTCCGTCCGGCGGATTCGCACCCCCGATTCGGCCATGCCAGTGTCCACGGTCGATCGATGTCCGGAACACCCGGAGTTCCGAGGTTGATGGAGGTCTCCGATGGTGGATAGAGGTATCGAAGGTTCACATGAGTGGCAATCTCATCGTATTTGATCGATGTCCAAGGCTCACATGGTGGGCGAGTGAAGACTGGGATGGATATGAAGACTGGTATGCAGCTGGAGAGTGCTGAACCAGGAACCATAGTCGATACCACCCATGTTGTTCTGGAAGTTAAAACAGACCTTTTATCACCTCGTATATTCTTTTGTAATGTTAGATACACAATTGCTGTGAAATTCATACACTTAATGCACAATCTAAGGTTGCGGGATGCACAGACTTATCAGACAAATACGTGTTGCGCTCCTTCCTTTGGACTGGATTATCAGATTGTTCATGATTGGTCTTAACTAGCTTGACCATGGAGTTTGGAAACGCGTCCTGGTTAGGTCAAACCATGCCCGCATGCCCCACGCCGCGCTGCCAGTGTGTCTTCATTTTCTTGAACGTGAAGTGGACCCTGGACCTGATTCGCTCCAAACTCAAAGGCCGAGCGACCTCCAAAGGATTATGACGAGCCAGCACAGCAAAGCTTGCAAAGCGGAACAGCCATGCAGCCCAAAAAGAGTCCTGCACCAGTGCGTGCAGCTGTTTTTGCACGCACGAGGTGAAGGACATAGAAGATCAGAGCCCAAATGTATGAGAAGACAATGTACTACATTACACTTGACCAGCATTGTCGTGGGCTCCATTGGAATCAGAGACGAGACTCCATTCATGGTATGATGCCAAGTCCAGTGTCACCGGACTGCACATGTTATGTGTTCCGCCTGTAAATAGCCGTGCCATCGGCGTCGTTTGATCCGGTCGCAGATGCAAGCGAAGCTTTTCTGCACACGCTGGAGGTGTCATGATGTTGAGAGAGGTAAAGACTGGGCTGATGCCACTACTTTGTTCAGCAGAGACTGAAACCTCACAGGGCAGGATCGTGTTTTCATCTCAATAGACTTATATAAATCGGAGGTGTAGCAACCGCCTTGCTTGCAACACATGCATAAATGATTACTATTAACATCAGGCAACTGAATATTTCTTCAACATGGCTTGCTTTTCTGCAAGATCCACCCAACTGGAGGTGCTTTGCTCGTTTATGGCTGCAATATCCACATCAGAATCCCAAGTTCCTTTGCACATTCAGGGATCAAGAACAAAGTTCCCTCACATGAAACAACAGTATAAGACAGTATATGTTACTTTACCGGCTTTTGGTGATTAAATTGAGATGAGGCATAGCTTTGCAAAGGATTCACAAACACTTTGCGTCAGTGAATACCTTTGGACTACTGAACAGCCCCTAAAAATCCCTATGGAATGTGTCCCAGTGGAATGATACTACTCCTGACGGTTTGGCCCTTTTGTAATTATAAGACCCTTTTGTGTTATGGAACTCGGTTGACCTACTCCTGGTGAATTTGGTTCAATTAAACCCTTGCTTGACAGAAGGTGTGGGATGAGGCTTGCTGCATGTAAACATGTTGCTTCGCTGACCCTCTTGGCGGTTGACGCCTCCTCAAGATGAAGATAGCGCCATTCGCTTCATCTAGTTTCACTGCATCACGCAGCTTCACCATCGCTTGCTGGTCCAACTGATCCATAGAGACTTGACCAATATGGGGAATGTTGATAGAAGTGCGGAACGGAGACTCAATACACCAATATATATATACATATTATATATACGTACTCTATATTGATCTATATTAACTATATAACGGCACAAACAATGCATATGATGATGTTCACTCTAGGGTCCTCATCACTGATCACTATGCGAGCCCTTAAACATAGGGCATGGACCAGAAGAGAAGTCTACCAGGAGTCTCTCCACAAACCCTTTAAGAGAGTACCTGATTCAGCCGGAGTAGGTATCTTCGCATCTTTGTGAAGGATGTGGAAACCGTACCCTACAATTTGGTGTTGCAAGAGCAAGCTCCTTGCTCACCTTGCTCTAAGTCGAGGTAAAGGTACAGCAAATATTTGTCATGATTGATTAGATTCATGGTCGGCTATAGCAGCTGGCTAGAGTTTTTGAACTAACATGCAGATCAAAGCAACATTTGCCTGCATCAAGCAACCAGGAGCTGGATCTATTGAATCTATTGTTCTCCTTTGTTGTGCAATAACACATACAAACATGACACTGAGGAACTTCCCAGCCACCTCTTCTAGAGGAATAGACAGATCCAAATGATCTCTATTGTGTCTTCCTTGGCTGAAAGGTTTGATTCCCCCAGATCGGGCCCAGATGTTGTTGTGACTTTATGAGATCAGCTGCAGATGGATGAACGAACCAGAAGTTCTACAAAGTGAACGTCCTCGATGCTTCATGTGGCCTGCTCCATGGAAATCGAATCAAGAGAAGGGGGAATTGAAGCAAGTAAGAATTGCTTGTTCAGTTCACAATTTCCACAATTTCCAGCAAAAAGCCATATAGGGAAAGCTGCTGTTTAGGACATGACTTGTTCAATGCAAGGAAGGTTGGCATCTGCCAGGTTGGATTCTTGGCATAAAAAATGGTGCACGTGGAATGCTACTAGGAACAAGGACGCTACTAGGGGCTCCTGGCCTTACTACTAGAAGCGATCGGACCCTACTAGGGGGTCCTGGCATCGCTCCTAGGAGCGATCGGACGCTACGAACGGAGCAAAGGGCATCGCTACGAACGGACGTGGAATGCCAGGTTCGATTCCACGTGCCGACTCCGGTGGCGACCGACGGACACCGCGCCGAGAAGACGTAGCGATGCACCTTGTTACTAGATGTTAATAGTAGCTAGTTGTTAATGCACTTGTTACTAGTAGTATCCATATCCGTGAAATAGAAACAATGTCCATCAAGTTTTTACTCCAAGACCAACCCAAACCCATCAAGAAAACAATGCCTCCAGGATTCCATCATCTTCGTAGGGGGGACCACGTCCAGGGTGTTCATACAGACAGCCAGTCCACTGTCAGGGAGAATGGCCTCAATGCAAGTAGAGTGATCCCCATGCAGAAACGTTCGACGAGACCTTTGGAGCCCGGCCTTCTAAAGAGGGCGGCGTTTAGAACCTGCGGCGAGTGAGCCTGAGATCGCCTGAGTGGTGGGGCCGCTTTTCGCGCGGGAAAAGGAAGAAACAGGACATGATGCGATGGCGCTTTCAAAGCTGTGACAGTTAGTTAGCTTGTTTTATCTAGATTAAGTCATTGTGGTGAGGCCTAGACACACACCGCAGGTGCAGTTTTGACCGGGCTCCGAGAGACAGGTTCCAAGAGGTCCCCTGATGCTCCACATCCGTGCTTCACATTCTGCACCCCCGGTTTCTTACGGACTGGAAGAGTGAATTCAAATGACACTCCCGGTGGCGCCTTTCGTTGTGCCACTGAACATCTTAGATTGTAAGATATGATTGTATAGTAATATATTATGTATGTCTAGCATTGGTAGTGAGGTAGGGGCGAGTGCGTGGGTGGGTGAGTGGGGGGGTGGGTAGTGGTTTGGACCTTCACGAGACTGATTTGTCGCAGACCTTTCGGTTCATAAGCCGATTGACATGAAACCCGCATCTGCGTGGGAAAATGTTTGTGCGTGTTGTTGGCACATGAATGCAGTTCAACAAGGGAACCCACATTTGGCATTTTGCAGCTATACAGTGCTAGACCAACCAAATAGTCGAGTTGGAATATAATGATCATTGAACATCATCATCATGCCCAGATTACAGTGTTGTTGATGTGGCAAAATTGCTAACGTCCTGCAAACCTTTAGGGTCCCACCAGCCCCAAAACTCGTTGAGACGGCTATATAGGACCCTCTGCAGAATGAGGATGAGAGACTAACAGAATCAATACATATACAGAGGTTCCAGCACGTCACCGTGGTGGAGAATCAGTGAAAGAATCCACTCCACTGAAATGTTGTGTCCTTCTTGATTGGAAGTGCAGGCTGTGTTGAATTATCCATCAACAACGTCCAAATCATTTCTCATGGCAGCTAGTGCTTGGGACAAACTACGGAACTGAAATAACTATCCACGTTGCCTTGACCCGAAGAGAGCCAGGGAACTGGAGGGGAGTTCCCCAAGAGACTTGCCATGGAAAAACTCACTCCAAACCTTCCCAGTGCGAGCTACCGTTGCGTGGTGGAGGTGGCCCGTGACGGGCCCGTGTCGGAGAGTTTGTTTGGGTGCCCATTTTGGTGGAGTTTTCATGGCCAAAGAGTTTTGAGGGGCAGCTTCAACACCCAGCCACCCGTCAAGTCCAAGTGTTTCACTCGATAATTTGTTGGAAAACCCACAGCACTAGCAGCTCCCAATTAATATGAAACCAGGAAATGTTCATGCAGAAGATCCTGGGCCAGAAGTGTATCTGTTTATCAATAGGAGGTCCCAGGGATGTTTGTTTCGCATTGTCAGATCTGGAAGACACATTGGAGGGTAGACCACCTCAGAAAGTCAATCCTGCCGTTGAATCTTGCAGTATATAGTCCAAAACAAAACAGAGAAGGCCACCATTTGTGACAGGAGCGCGGATCATCGATTCCAGGAGTTTGATGGACCACACGTGGGGTGACTGTAAGCGCCAGGATCCCAAAGAGTTGCCCATTCAAGAAGACACTATGTTTCAGCCACACGACCTGATGCGGCGTGTGTGTGGACGCGCAGCCAGCAGCTAGTTTGGAAAGCTGCCATCATAGACAGATTGACATGGATCAAATACCAAGTGCAGGTGGGGTGGCAAATGGAAACGCATCCCAACATGAACCTCCGGAAGTCTCACATGGACCCCCAAAGAAGAACAGAGTGATAGATAGATATTCTACTCGATATTCAATATCTAGTTCTGAGAAATAGATAGTATTTTTCATTGATAATTCACTGATATTCACAGATATTCGCAAGGACGCTATTAGCTTGGAGGCCATTGCAACTACCTTGGAGGCCATCGCCACGAACGGCCGTAACAAGAAGCGAACGTAGCTAGAAGCATCATGACGCTCGAACGTGAGTTGGACTGATATTTCTTTGTTGGTCTCAACCTTTCGCCAGGTCCCAGAGCCCCAGAGCTGCCGCGGGACCGAAACGCGCGACAGCTGAAGTCGGGACGGGATCACCCCGACGGATCGGTCGCCCATTTGGCATTACTGTATTTGTTTGAGTGTGTTGTCTTCGTTTATTTCAACAGTCACTGTACTATTATATAGTTGTTTTGTGTTGTTTTGTTATATACTACGTGGTTTTGCTGTTCATTTTAGATGGTTACAACGGCAGACGCACCAAGTAGCAGCACCCGTGAATGGAAAAGGGCTACATGTGGGCGGCATGTTGAAGTTGGAAGCAAATTGAACGACACATTGGATTCTTCTACAACGAATGAATTGTTTGAACTCCCATTGCAACACAATTGATTTGAGTCTTGCATCCCCATGATTTCTAATTGCTTCACTTCCACTGACCTCCGTTGCTGTGTGCTCGAAGGGGCTTCTGCCCCCCGGGCCGGCCACCCGCCGGCGCCCCTGACCCCAATGAAGTCCGAGAGCAACGAGGTGGACGAGGAAAAACCCCAGCCCTGTGAGAGCACCGCGCCCCGACGGTGATTGGGCGCAGAACGAGTCGTCCAAGGGCTCAGTATCCAAGAGTGCTTGGAATGTCCAGATCACATGTCTAGAGTATATACTGTAGTGACTTAATAGTGCAATATAGTGCACATGATCAGATTCGGGAATGAACAACGGTGTTCCTGAGGCTGGTGTTGCAGGCATTCAGTACAGCCAGATTCACAACACAAAATACATCATCATGTACAAGGGACAGTCAATACTGTCACTATTGTATTGAAACGGCGGGCTTTGTCAAATAGAGTCTGGCTTAGTTTGGCCTTGGGGATCACTCATTGTGTTTGAGATTGGCCCTCAAAGGGTGTGTCTTCAAACAATGGGCGCTCGCAATCAATGAATAATGTGTCATTTGCTTCCCTGAAGATGTATAGTTGGGCGCAATCCTGCAATATGTAGTGTCGGGAAAGAAGCAGAACTATTCCACATGTTGGCTGGTGTGTCCACGACAACATGTGTGCGTGTTTAAATGGAGCTGGACCCTCCAGAACCCTCCAAAACCAAGCAGCTCCGGGGAGTTTGACTGGGGGGGCACATCTTGACCCGTTGGCATGTCACTGCACCAAGTGAGGATCATGCTGGGACCGCCCGGACCGCCCCGTTCATGTTCACGGATCGCATCATGTGGTTATTTGTCTTTTTTACATACCAAGTGGGCCAAGTGGGAGCCTTTCAGCCTTTCCTTCTTTGGGTTTTTCCTATATGATCCGGTGCTTTCATGAAAATAGTCATCTATGCCATCCTTCCTCTTTGGCGCCAAAGACACGGTACACCCACCGTCTCTCTAGGGCTCTCGCCAAAGAGGCCTTGCTGAATGTCCCACAGCGTGGACTCCTTCACCTGTCGTATTGGATCCTGGGACCCAAACGGCCGCGCCTTTTGGGATTTTGATGAAGCATGATGAAGCAATGCTTGCAGGGGAAGGTCTTGACAAACACCTTGCAATGCAGGGTGTTCGTCAGGAGCAAATACTGTAGGATAGAGTTCTGACAGAGACTGGCCGACATGTAAGTACATTTTGTGGTGTCTGATTTAAAAGCACTGAGGCGTGTAATTTGTATTTCTAGGATATATATAGTTTGCTCAAATCACCGGGGATGGTTTATGTGATGTGAACATTTCGCACAAAAGGAGGGCCCCCTTACAGCCCTGCTATCGACTTGTTCAGGAAGCGACTGGAGCGGAATTTCGGATGGCGCCTGCTGTTTTTGCTTTGGGTGGTGCAGCATTTGATGAAGGGCTTGTGTCACAGAGCCTTGGACTTTAGAGGAGGATCATTGGGGGGGCTAGGCCTGTGGTTGGGGGAGATGGTCTTACCAATTTGGACTTCCACTGCCACACGTATGTATACAGTGTATAGTGTAAATATACAGTTACAGATCTATAGAAGTCAACGTTGTATATAAATATATATATAGAGTACATATCACACAGCATTTCAGAAGAGAAAGCCAAGCTTGCCACTGGGCTTATACCTTCTGTTTGGCCGCTGATTTTTTGGTGGCTACTCGTGTTAGTGTTTAGATTGAAAGACGTCCCAGAGCATTGATGCTTACGTTGCTGTGACTGCAAGCAGTTGAATTGTGAATCTCAGAATCTTGGAACGTTCATCTTTGCAGATAGCGTGGAAACACAACTACCTGCAGATCCATTTGCAGGTGTGTTGCATATGCCAAGCACGTGATTTTTGGTGGAAGTTCATCAGTGTTGGAATTTCATGGCCATTTTTCACCAGATACTGTAGCTGGAAACTACGTAGCAGGTTAGGAGCACGCTCCTGACCCTAAAGCCCGCAACAATTTCCAGCATTAGGTGTCCTCAGCAAAGAACAATCACGATCGAAAGCTAAAGCAAGGCATATATACATATGTTGTATGTTTGGAACCCTTCAGTGCAAAACCTCAGCTACAATACTGTATCGTCAGCTCTAGGACTATGCTTGTGCTATGTCCGAAACATGGAACATCATGGAACATTGCGGGTATTAGCATGTAAGCGGATTGCCATGCGGTGATCGACCGAAGCCGTGAAAGGTCCCCCAGAGATGCAGGATACACGTGCATCAACTGTGCAGTTCTCAGTTCTCACTCGCCTGTATGCTCTTGCATGTACTTGTCCTCGACCTCTACCCAAAAACTTGCTCTGAAGTGTGCCTCGAGACTTTGAGGAGTTGCCCCGATTGTCAGAGTATACATGTTTTTTGGCCAGCAGACTTGGACTTCAGCGCTGTGGAATACGCCCTGTGATTTGGGAAGTACCCCATCATGGCTAAAGGCTGGTATAATGTGAAGCCCTTCGTTTCAGCTAGTGTTTGACATTGAGGTATCCGTTGTTTCTTTTTGCACTGTTATCATGTGACGAACTGTTTGCCACAGTCTCTTGCCACACATTTGACCGCTGCACCTGCGAACGGTGGAGTTTACTGTCAGGCAAGCTGTGTCGCTAACCTCAGCAGCTAAAATATCACGGGACGGTAGTAAAACGCTCTCGTAAACATAGGGCAGCGGCTATCCGATAGGCCACTATTAGATTCTATAGGAAGGCTGCATAAGTCTTTTCCGAAGCCTTCTAGCAACATTTGAAGATTATACATAATACTCGAATATATTAATATTGTAAGATATTATCTTATGTATTTCTGGGACTCCCTTTCGTGCAGTTATTGTGTCTTCAACTCATCAAGATGGTAGCATGTGACTTGCGACCGCCCAACTGTGCCCAGGAATGACAATGAGAGCGGTGCCGTACGTCTTCCAAGCTTATGCGGTTGATGCCCCACAGGCGCAGGCACGGCTTGTTGTCGGCAACCAAATCAAGCTTGAGTCCAAAGAAAACCATGACTGCAAGATGGCTCTCAGGCTCTAAAGAAGCAGTCCGAACATATGGATGTCATGCTGCGGCAGATCAACTGGTGCTTCATTGTTATATATATATATATGTTTGTTGCCGAGCAGTGAAGATCCTTCGGTTTGCTGCCACAAGGGATTCATTAAAATAACAACACTGCTGTCTAGTGTGTAATCACTAGACGAGTCACCGAGTCACCGGGGGGGGTGTTTTCCCACCAAAGGGGAACTGCGTCACATGGACCCGTAGCCGGGTGACTCGGTCAGGTGGATCGGGTGGATCGAGCTGGACCCAACTACGGAGCAAGGACGCTACTAGGGGCTCCTGGCCTTACTACTATAGGAACAAGAAGCTACTAGTAACAAGGACGCTATTAGGTGGAGGCCATCACAAGTAGGTTGGAGGCCATCGCTACGAACGTAACAAGAAACTACGAACGTAGCAAGGTAACCTAACCTTGTAGAAGCCCTTCAGCCCTCCACTCCTTTAGCCCTGCACCGGTGCACCCCACCGCAAGTTTGCTCTTTTTCCCAGTCGTGCACGTGGCTGGCCCGCCGCGTCTTCCAGGTCTTCCAAGGCCTAATCATGTTGCCCTGGGCGGTGAAACCCATCCTCGGCCTGGGGAGCGATTTGGTGCCTGTCATGGGTTTTCGGAAGGCCCAAAAGAAAGCGTCGAAGAAGACATGGGGTGCGTGGAAGACGCGGTTGGTGGAGTTGGCAAACATCGAAAGTGGGAGGAGGTGCTCTTTTGAGTTGGGATTCGAGATTGAGCTTCAATGAATAATATCAGAATCAATATCAAGTGTGTCTCATGGTTGGCTTTTCCTTGTGCAGTAGACTGTTGTAAGTTATGTGTGTTTACTTGTTGGATCTTTGTTGGGGCTTTGGAGGTTTCTGTTGGGGGGGGCATCTTTGTGGAAGGCGGATCCACATGGTGGTGAAATGATGGGAGGAGAAAGAGAGTGATCAAAAGCACGCAGACACATGTGTCAATTTGAGTATTACCCGGCCAGTTGTTGGTAAGTGATCGTTTTGGGGAAACTGATTGCCTTACAGAAAATGAACAGCAACGGTTGCAGCTGCTCGGTTGTTTGTGGTGGTGCAGTCACTGAGGGGTCTAAAAATGGGGACGTCAAAGCAGGTCACGGTCATGAACATTCAACCCTTTTTGACACCTCAGTGGACCGTTGGAAAGGCTCATCATGTTTTGCAAAACACATTTCAGCAACAGACCGGCCCAACTCCCCACACTGCACGAGTATTCTATGAACTTCAGGATGAGTAGTTGAGTATGGGAAGATTTGTCCTACTGGTTGCCCCTCATATGTTTGACATGTTCCACCAGTGCATGTTTACTGTGACACATTGGATTGGGTTCTGTACATTCTTTGTTCAAGAGCCCATTGGTGTATGGCATTCGGTCAAGGCCGTCGATCCACGCAGGTCAAGGCCGCCGTTAGACAGTATGCAGGCTGACTTGTTTCCCACATAGTCCCGCTTCTCTATGAATTTGTTGTGTCTTGTGCTTTCTTTGGTATACTTTCTCTCTCCAACCAGCCAAATAGCCTGGTTTGCTTCCAGCCACAAAGTGAGTACCGCCGCCAGGGGCCTTA